CCCTTCTCAGTGGGGCACAGTCCCGCTTCCCCCCGCTGGTGTCATCGCCTCGTTTCCCCTCCCCCCACCGGTCACAGTCCCCCCTCCTCTTGGGGTCACAACCCCATCTCTGCCTTCCTCAGAGGAGGGGATCCGGGCCCCATCTCTCCCCTTGCCCATGTTCTTTGGGGGAGAGGGGTCACCACCCCCACAGGTTATGACCCCACCTCCTTCCCTTGGGGTTCTGAATCCTTCGCTTCAATTGGGGGTGAACTGCCCCCCCTTTCCCGTTTCTCTCCCGAGAGCCATTGGGACGTTGGCTCTGACCCAGCCGGGGGGGGGGCTCTGCCCTGTGACGCCTGCAATGGAAGTGGTCTTCCAGCAATGACCCCTCCAGACAGCCACGTTCACCTTAGCAGCCCCATCCCTGCTGTCCCCCCACCAGCATTAACAGGGGGCCCAGCAGCCTGGCGGGGACAATGGGGCGAACGGGAACATGATGTAGAGCCGGACAAGCTGTCGTGGGAGCATCCCAAGGGGTTCAGGCCCCACGGAGGAACAGTGTGTGTGAGAAAGCCCCGGCTGTGCAAAAAGGAGAAATGTCAGGCGGCCGTTGGGTGGCAGACGCTGCCAGGCCCTGAACAGGAACCTGGCACGGGCTGGGATGGGGAGTTCAACTGTTCGGCGCCAGGCAACCGCAGGGGAAGGGGAAACGCAGCCACCGGGCCACGGGGAGGGGGACGGATGTTGCGAAAAGGGGAGAGAAAGCGGAGATCGGGCCAGCGGCAGGAGAAAGAGCCGTAGGAATTGGGGCTCGGTTCTGCGGAGTCTCGGGTGGACGTGGGTGGGGGAGAACCAGGAAAACACGCTGGGAAAGGCAGCAGAACAGGGAGTAATGGTCTCAAGTTGCAGTGGGGGAGGTTTAGGTTGGATATTAGGAAACACTATTTCACTAGGAGGGTGGTGAAGCACTGGAATGGGTTCCCTAGGGAGGTGGTGGAGTCTCCTTCCTTAGAGGTTTTTAAGGCCCGGCTTGACAAAGCCCTGGCTGGGATGATTTAGTTGGTGTTGGTCCTGCTTTGAGCAGGGGGTTGGACGTGATACCTCCTGAGGTCCCTTCCAACCCTGAGATTCTCTGAGTCTATGAACGTGAGCAAGGGGCCGGGGCCGCGGCGCTGCAGCCAACGGGCGAGTCTCTGGACCCGCTTTATTTAAACCTGACAAGGGGCCGAGGGAATTTTGCAGCTGGAGGGGAGGAGCCGTGTGCTGACCCAGGATTAGCCAGGAGAGGGAGGCGGCTCCAAGGGGGATGCCAGGCCGAGAGGACGAACCGACCCGCGGGAACCTCATCAGAGCCTCTGAACACGGCCCCGGGGGAGCCCTGGGGGGAGGGAGTGAAATAACGGGCCTGGTGTGGTGCCCTGAGAGCCAGCGGGGGTTTCCTTGGCACCCCAGCCCTTGTCTGGCCCCTTTCCCAGGCAACCACTAGGGGGTCTCCGAGCCGAACCGAGGGTCCCCCGCCAGCCAAACCGTGTCCCCCGCCAGCCAAACCATGTCCCCCGCCAGCCAAACCAAGGGTCCCGCACCAGCCGAACCGAGGGTCCCCTGCCAGCCGAAGCTGGTTCCACACTGGGTCACTGGCTTGGGGCAGCCGAGGTGTGAGCTGCGGGGGAACAGGGACTGTGGAGCGGAAGCAGCCGCCAGGCTCTGACACACAGGCTGGTTTGTCGTGGATTCATCGACTCCCCGGCCAGGCAGGACCATTGGGCCCATTGACCCCCGATAACCACGAGTGCCCCCAAATTCCGCTGCCACCGCTGCCCACCCCCACTTTCTTTATTGGCAATAATGTGGATAAATAAGCATCCGCTTTCAGGTTTGCAGAGATGCTGGGTTTACAGCAGGACTCCTGGGTTCTCTCCCCAGCTCTGGGAGGGGAGTGGGGACTAGTGGTTAGAGCAGGGGGGGCTGGGAGCCGTGCACAGTGATGGCTGTTGTGAACCACAGGAGAGGGAGATGGACCCAGGCTGGCCCCGATGCCCCAGGCTGGTGCTAGGGGGCGCTGTGCTGCAGGGAGTGGAGTGGGGGCTCTCTCCAGCAGTCAGGGCTGGCCCCAATGCCCCGGTGTGGCACTAGGGGGCGC